AAAGTGAGTTGCGGCTAGAATCAAAGGCTATGTTGGATATAGGGAGCTACTTATGTGTGTGTTGGGGAGAGGCCGTGTGTGCGTGTTCGAGTGTGTGCTGGGGCACAGCACGTCTTGATCACTGTGTTATGATCACACAATAAAAAAGTTCAGTTGGGTCTTTTACATCTTGTTTGCCTGAAGATTACGAGAATCTCAGAAATACTGAATCGACAAAAAACCAAATCCATTAATCCCAACTTTTGGCCAGCAAAACCTACTCTTATCATTCACTAAGATAAGTTTGGGGGAAATTTGTCGATCTCTTTGTTGCCAATGAGTCTGGTCCTGCCTAGAGTTGGTGCTAAGGCCCCGTCCACACGAAGCCGAACTCTGGCCTAAACGCACAAATTTTTCACCCAACCAGCCTCTCATCCATACGAGGCCGGCGTTTCGGGGGTCTGTAAACGATCTTTTTTTTTTATTCAGCCTTCAGAGTGGGAAGATTTTGAAACGCCGTTTTCGCGTTTCCATCTTTAAGCTGTAACCGCTTTTTTTTTTTTTTACACGCATGCGTCATAGCGTCGCCTCTAAACACGCATGCGCGACACAGTATCACAACAACAATGGCGCCGTAATGTGTTGAATGGTTGCTGCTCATGCTACTCACCCTGCTGTCGGGCTTACAACAGAATCTTCTTCTTCTGGAATATCTCCAGGAAGAACAGAGCAATATCGACGACATAGTTCAGCACCTGAATTTGACTGAACCACGAAAATGGACCCGCAGGGCAACCATTTATAAATATTAGTGCGCATGCCCAACATTTCGTCGCCTATTTTTGCTTTGGCACGACAGCGCCACTCACAGGCCTGGCATACATTTTGCAGCGTTTTCATGCATTCGTGTGGACGATCACATTTATTTTACGTCTCCGTCTTTACGACAAACGTTCTGGAAAATATTAGCGTTTCGTGTTCATTTTGACTTCGTGTGGACGGGGCCTAAAAAAAGAGCAACTTTTTCAGTCATGGAATAAAAGCTAGAACCGAAGCCAAAGACGGAGCTTGTGTCGCTGGAAACATGGAGGAATACTGCCCAACACTAAAACCAGATTAGCGTGTAGTGTTTTCAACAAGTGATGAATTTTAATTTAGCAAAGTAAAATCTTGTATTAATCACAACAACATTAACCAGGTACTTTCTGAGGATGCTGAGATCTTTCTGAACAAGGGGCTACTTCTGAGAACCTTTTTTTGATGCTATGGTAGAGCATCCAAAGTTCCATGTTGGGGTTTCTTCTAAAAGCAATGAAAAGGTCCTAAAGTGACAGCCTGCTGTACCCTAAAAGCACTGACGACCGCAACCCCAGATCCTTCCTTCCCCCGGAGGTTAGACTTTCTATCTATTAGGGTTGTAATAACTATCAGCTTAATCACAATACAATGTGATATCAATGTCCTTGCATAACAATATCATAAATGTTTGTATAATTTCCATTCAATACATTTGCGGGCAATTTGAATGCCATATTATCAACATGACATCGCTATGAGAAAGAATAACATTCTGGAGTTTGAAAAAAGGTTTAGCTTGTTGCATGTGATGTGTTATTTGTGCACATGCATGCTGGCTGTAGGGGTAATGGGCTCAATGAACTTCTGATGTGTTTCATGGTCCCTGGGCTGCTCCTCTAACACAATAATGTAATACAATATAAACCAATTAAATATGATTTGACCATTTTATTTCTAAGCTACTAGATGCATCCGACATTTAGATTAAAAACAGTATAATTAATAATACAACAACTTCACTAATGTTCACTATTGTATTTTGACTTGTGAATTTCAAAATTAAAGCATATCTTAGATATGATGTTGTGGATCAGTGTGTTTGTTTTGAATTGATGTAATTGGTTTCGGTAATCAAATGATAGGTGTATCGATGTAATCACATATTGTCAAGTCCTTAACTATCACTGCAACAAGCCCAATACGTTTTTTTACAAATCTGAGGTTAATTGCTGTTTTCCTTTCTGTTTTCAATTTTCTTGTTAATATTCTGCTCCTGCTTTCATGCAGAATTGTAATGTGCATTTAGTACAGTTTTCAATAATTCCTACTCATTTTCACTGAACTGTACAGTATTTTTTATGTTTTGCGGTAAAACTTTTTCTGCTCTATTCCTTTCATTTTGACTATGTATTCGCTTCATGTGAAACAGACATGCCCTTTCAGATCTCTCAATCATGGTTATAATGCAAAACCATGTTTGTTGTATAAATTACCACTGATCCATCTTCCTAAATCTAATGTTTGAACTTTCAGATTTTCTCTAAGTGTATTCATTTGTAATAAAGAGCTACATATGCATCGCTGTATCACACTCAATCAAGAAGACCTCAACCATTTTTTAAAACACCCTTGTTCAGGGCAGAAACACCACAATAAGAACTGCTACATGCTAAATTAACATAGAAAAGACGCATGATGTTTATGGTATAAATGGCTAAAAAATGTTTTTATTTAGCTAAACATTTTGTTTAAAAACAAACCATAAAGGCAACCCTGCAACGAATGCATGGTATGTCAAATAGTCTGTTATCCAACTTAACCACATTTGTAGGGTCAAACACGAGTTTCTAAAATGCAGTATACACTTCATGAGGTACGGTTTCACATTTCAGCTCTGCAAGTTCAAAATAAGTGTTTAAAAGCATAAAATTCAAGTTAACAAGCATTTAAGTTAAGCAATGAAAAACAGTTTTTATAGCTTTTTTTATAGCTATTTCAAAAAAATGGGAAATTTTACACTATCCACTCCTATGAATAAAATGTACCTTTTCTATCTCATTCTTAATACTTTTCTACTCACAACGGGTGTTAAGCTTGCAGTAGTAGTTTCAATTATATGTGCAGTTGGTATATTTTAGTTAAGGCCATCTCCTTTCTTCATGTCCTACCTTGTCTCTCTTTAGAAATACTGACGTTGTTATATTAGTTCTAAATCCTTAAAAACAAGATTTCAAAATGCAGTTGGTTGCTGTTATTTTTCCAAGAAACATATTCTGGCATTTCTATCAATCAGATTAAATGAGGCAAGATATCAGAATTCATAATAAGGTGTTATAACAGGTTATGACATCTGATCGCAGTTGTTCTAAATAATAAAACACAACACAATAGAGAGCACTAAGGGAAACATTTCCTGTACTTCTTTTTATTGTCACTATATGTGCTATTTATTTATCTAAGGACCATTAAACACATGACATGGGAGATCATTTAAGAGACAATATAAAATAACAAAAAAAATCAGAAAGAAGTGTATAACATTGCTAGCAGGATAAAATGACACACATAAATAAATAAATAAATAAATAAATAAATAAATAAATAAATAAATAAATAAATAAATAAATAAATAGCAGTTGCAATAAAGAGTATATTGCACATTCAAGGACATGTTGCACTTTCCAAAGATCAGGTCTTTGAGTTTAATATAAGATATCAGAAATTGTAATAAGGCTTTTTAATTCAGGGTCTGTGCTACAAAGCTCCTAGTATGGTCTCTTACTGAGAATAGAGTTTATGTGTATTGCAAAGGGGCCTGTAAAAGGCCCCTCAAAGCAGGGGTCTACCCTGAAGCTCTTTGGACCCTCTACTTTATAGTGGCTAAAAATAGCAACTGAGATAATTAATGGTTTAGTATAAATAGCAGTCTCAGAAGCTTTGGGAGTGTTTTTTTAAAGAAACTTTTGAATTTAATTTTCATTAAAAAAACTTAATTGTACCAAAAATATGTCTTTCAGTTTATTTTTCTTATCCTGACCTTGAGAGTAGTGTTTTGGTTTTGTTTTTTTCAGGTCTGAATATTATCAGGTCAGATAATATCCTATTGGGGAAAATCCATGCTTCCTTTTTTGCAAAAACAACTGTTGGCTGTTTACGACTGCAACAGGTTTCCTACAGCAGATATTTAAAAAAATAATAATGAGTCATATTCTATTAAGCTCTATACAAGTTTCATTTAGCTGGACTTGAGGAAAGGTGGGTCTTATAATTCTAAAGGTTGCAAACCAGTGGCTTAAAGTGGATGATTTGCAACTGCAGCACTCCCTTTATACCCATGCACTTTTTTCCTCCATTGCATTATTAAATTCATATTGTGAGTGGAAGCATAGCCCTACCCTGCACTGAGGTGTAAACAGTGTAAAAATAGCCTGCTTTCATAGGCTTCCCTACAGTCCCGTTATATAATGGTCCAAGCTCGGATGAATGACATCACGGGTAGTCCTGCAATCACAAACCGTATGTCCTTTACAACCAGCTGGCAATGTAAAACACCATGTAGTAACATATTACGCATGCAGTGGTGAGCGTATGCAAACCCCATGCATAAAAAAGTGTGTTGAATAAAAAAAGTGAGCATATAAACTTGACTTTGGAGAGTAGTTCTAGTTCTTGTTGGGAGAAAAACACTTCCGCGATGGTGAAACCTTGATAAAAAATATTCTGGGTTGGTTGACATTCCCTGTCAACCAACCTGGAGTATGAAAACAAGCATTTGCAACAACATAGGGTTGCGTTTAGCGGTGTTTACCGCTGAGAAGCGGCGTAAAGGGAACATGTTCGGGCGGAGGTCGAGTGGCGCAGTTTAGCGCGGAGCGCAGCGGCTGGCTGAGATCAGGGCGGCCGGCGAAGGCGCTCCTCACCCGGTCACTTCCCAGCCAAACCTCCGCTCCCTCTTCCGCCGCTACAAAAACACTCACTTTACTCCAAAGCTTCAAAGTGACAAGTATACACGCGTGTGCCACTCGTTTCTCTGGACTGTTTTAGTCTCTAGTAAAGTGCGAAGTTAACATTTACTAAAAGCTTTGAAGTAAAGAAAGGAGAGGAGAGAGCTCCAGCGCCACCCTTACCATGCTCTTCCAGCCATTTTCATGTCCAAGCACAGCTCCGAAACAGGAGTAACAGTTTGGAAAAAGCGGCTCAGAGTGAGCACTTTAGTGACTTACCGTGGGGTGTAACGGGCTGCTGGGTTAGTGTGTCTTTTTGTTGCCAGGGCTCCCCTGCTCTGCTCCGCGCTCCGGCGCTGACGGTGGAAAAGCGTCTCCCCTCCTAATGATGTCTGCGGCGCACGGCTAATACCTCTCTGCCCCCACCTCCAGAGAGAAGGAGAAAGAGAGAGAGGGAGAGAGATCCACAACTGGAGCACTTTTACGAGCTACTCATGCAAAAAATGTGACAGGCAGGGTTTGGAGCTGGGCAAACAGCCGCGGAATTACGCGAGAAGTTCACTGACAGCACCAATTAAGGCGTGGGGATGTCAAAGCGCAGACGTCATTTGGAATAGTTCAATCGTGTTTAGATTTCAAACTCCGGCTTGACTGCGTTCTTTATTGCCAATGTAACAGTTCAGTCTCATCTCGGCCTCTGTTTTAACATTTCTATGGTCTTTTTGAAGGTCAGGAGGTCATGGCAGGCGATGGAGACTCAGGGATAAACTTTGCATGCACTGTCACAGTCACAGGTGCTTGGCTCCAGGAACTTAAAGATTCACTTCCATACAGAAAGCACATCACTGCAAAAACCATCTGGGTTTTTGGTTTAAAAAAATCTTAAATTAAGTGTCTTTACCCTTAATTTGAATAGATAATTTGCCAACGGAATGGGTATTTTTACCACTAAAATAAGATAATTAGATAATATGCGCTTAAAATAAGACAAAGCAATGTTTTTTTTCTTATTTTAATTGTAAATGGTCTTTTTCCATTGGCAGACCAAGAAAAAATGCTCTTCATTTAAGCAAAAATTACTTATTTAGATTTCCATTTTTTGCAGCAATATTCTTACCTTCAGCTACCACAGTATACATGTCGGATTAAATAATACTACTTATACTTCAGCGATAGTATCAAGGTGTTCATTTATTGTATCTCTTATACTATATCGGTTGGTTGTGCTGTTCTTTTTACATCTCTTTGCAGGTGATGAAGCAGACTGAAGATTTTTTATCGTTATCTCCCGTTTGATCTCCTCTTTCTTTCATCTTTTCTCTTTTTTTCTGTTTTTCCTTTACATTGCAGTGTCCATATAATCTATAATACTCCCTGCATGAATTATAATAAAGCTATTTATATGCATAAATCAAGCGGAAAACTATGGCGATAGCCGTACTGCTTCACTTGTGAAAGCAAAATCTCATTTTGAATCTAGACTGATATTCTTATTGCCACATCACCAGACAGGACACTGTTTAAAAAAAGGGGGGAAAAAAGACTCAAAGATTCAGAAGAAATCTGCTCACCTCTGATCTGAGCCCCAAAAGGCTTAATTCAGGGGCCCAAATATAAGATTAATGCATGGAAACATGTAAAGCATCAAAATATTAAATATCCCACTCCAATGATTCCTTTTTTTTTCCTTCTGTAGCAACCATACATAAAAACAGTTTGTTACTCCTCTCGAGATTACAAGGCTCAACGTTGTTCTTTTGGCTTTAAAAGCCATTTATTGTGAACACGTCTTATAAAGCCCCAAAAATGCCGTCAGAACTCATTGGCCGCATAAACTCTAGAGATATAAAGATAACTCATACAGCTTTTCTCAGAAAACCAGTCTTAAAGCTTTTCTGGTGAAACTTCTTGAAAAAAAACAGGTGCAAAAAAAATAATTGTGTCAATCAATTTTTTCCATGGGCAACAACGTGACATGCGGAACAAAAAACATAGGTTCCTCCTTACATTTTAATGATCTTTTTAACCAATGTACATAAACGACATAAATTAACTGAAAGTTAGTTATTTATTTATGATTGAACTTTTAATTTCAATACTAGTATGTATTAACTCTTATTTTTAACTAAATATTAGAATATTTAAATGAGTTGACTCTAATGGCAGCTACAGTTATTTCTGCACAAATTAATGGTTTGATCGCCTGAATACTAAAATGTTTATTGCTAAATAAAACTGATTTTGTTAAGCGTTAGAGACCTGTTTTCACAGCATCACAGAAATGTTCAAATAAAGTAAAAATCTCCCTAAGAGATACATCTGCATGAGAATAACCCGAGTAAAAACCTATAATATCTGTAATTTACAAGATAGCTGAATGCACTTCTTTGCAGGTTTTCCCAATAAGATTTATTTAGATTAAATGAACGCTTCCTTTCAGGACCTTACTATTATATTAGAACATTTATTTATTTCAGCTTCTAAAGTAAAGTACATTATCTAAGTAATTATTTCTGCTATTTATTCTGGTTTGGTTTCATTAATTAGATTAAATTATTTAAGAGCGAACAAACAAGGCATCTTGGCACATAAAATGTTTTACCTTTTTCAAACTAGGACCTTAGGTGATTCGTACACAACCACAACAGCCTGACGTCTTCTCCTCATACCAGTCACCAGATTGGTCACACATTTCTGTGGGATGCTCTAATAGTAACCCAAAGCTTAACTCACAAGTGTCATTGAGGCTAAAATTGTAGGCAGGTCAGACCTAGAGATAAAGTCAAAATGGTTATTTACCAGGTAAATCAGGGCTTGTCCATTTTCAGTTCTTTACTAATAAAAGCATTTAAGTCATCTTCTAAATCTGTTTCACTTTTCATCTATTTTGAGAGACTTTCACCATGCTGGCCTCAGTGTATCCTTTCTGATTTCCAGTGTGGCTGTCTTTGTCTGTCCCTGTACAGCAGAGTGTAACCTGATACTGCCCACTATGAGCCACAGGGTGCACGAGGTTGCGGAGTGACGGATAATCAGAGATGCATCCCACTCCCTGCCAGTCACCCAATAAGTGGCCTATTGTCCGACTCTCCATTGTACTCTTGTCACATATGTAACAAACAAAGAGCCAGAGAGGTAGGCTGCCCTGTGAGCCACAGGTTTAGTGTTACATTGATGCCCTGTGTGCATAGAAATGAAGACACATAGTTTGGCGGTGAATGGACTGATATCTAAATGAGATTTTTACATCACATTTTCGCACTTGACAAAAGAGGTGAAGTGTTATTGATTAAATAGGGCTTTTTATTATATCAACAGGACTGCTTGCTAATGGATTTACAATCAAATAAAAAAGTAGTTTTAGCTTGGTATGAGTTTCAAAAGGTCTCCTTCATCACACCCAGATGAACTTTGCATCTGGTCAGTTAAGGATTGCTCTAAGATTACAAATTTGTGGAGTAAATGCAAAAAATATAATAGTAAAATGAGAAATTATGTAATTAAAAAAAAGGAAAACCAGCAGCTACCTGTGTTTGTTTAATTGCTTTTTAAAAATACTCGGACACTTACATTAACATTAAAGCTGTATAAAATGCCTTTTTAAAGATTCATTTTTAAGATGTGAGAAAAACAGTATTTAATGTTAAGGATAAATTCACATTGTAGGGTACACAGTGTTGAAGTGGGTAGTGCTCTGGCCTTGTAGCAAGAAGGTTTTGGGTTCGAATCCCGGCCCGGGGACTTTCTGCATGGACTTTGCATGTTCTCTCTGTGCATGTGTGGATTCTCTCTAGCTTCCTCGCACTGTCCAAAAACATGACTGTTAGGTTAATTGGTTTCTCTAAATTCTCCTTAGGTGTGTGTGTGAATGGTTGTTTGTCTCTGTGTTGCCCTGCAATAGCTTGACAATCTGTCTTGGGTGTACTCCACCTTTTGCCCATTGACTGCTGGAGATAGGCACCAGCAACCCTTGCGACCCAAGTAGGGATTTTCCGCAATGGAAAATGGATGATGGTTGCAATTTTAAAGGGATTTGCCTTCTTTAAACCCTTAGCCATCTATATTGATGTGCTCCTGACTGCTGAAGAGAGAGTGAACAATGAAAGCCATAATAACTAGTTCATAATACTTTAACAGAATAGCTAGTGTTGATATGGAAGTTTGTTCCTCAAAAATGTGACAGAAACAAGATGAACTTTTATAGAGATGTGAAAAGAGACATGGTTTGATCTCTTAATATAACAATAGGGACAGAAAGAACCTATACAAATACCAGAACACCTGGAATGATGTTCCTTGGGCGGACTGTACTGTATGAGATTAGAATTGAATTATTCGAAAACGAAGAGGACATATTTGGCATAAAACAAATACAGCATTCCAGAAGAAGAACCTCATAGTAACTATAAAGTACGGTATGAAGGGTCATGGTTTGGGAAGGCTTTGCTGTAGCAGGTCCTGGCCAGCTCACCATGATAGAATCCACCATGAATTCTACCGTGCACCGAGTCCATCTGTTGAAAAAACAAAAAAAAACAAAGAAAGAAACAATGAAGCACCACTGGTTCTTACAACATGACAATTACCCAGAAATACCAGTACATCCACTATAAACAGTTTTTTTGTTTGTTTAATTATTACAAGAGTATTATTTTTGGCATGCCAAACAGCTTTCATTCCAGCGTTCATTGGAAATATTTTCACATAACCAGTCTATGCACTCACGTCTTGCTTAACGCAGAAATGCATTTTTCTTATAAATGTGGCTCCATTTAAAGGGAAATAAACAGATTTACCTAATGCATAGTTGCTTTTTTGAATAAATTAACATATGAACATTAGTTTTGAGCTGATGGTCACATTTTCTTATAGTATTATTAGGTCACGTCACACTGCATATAAACACAGGCATGTACCTGCGCAGCTTGCTTGCTCCACTCTGCCTGTACAAACAAGCACACATGTAGTGTTAAACAGAGCTTCTATATGTTGCGTGGACATCTACAAGTCTGAACCGGTTCATTACCAGCTCCAAACAAGCTAGTGCTTCCATTTTATTTTGCTAAAGAACAAGATACAACGTTGTTACACACAAACATGTATTCAATGGCTACAGTGTACTTGAAGAACTACTCCCCAGAGGACAAGTACATTTTTCCAGCATTGGGTTACTCCCTAGAGTTCTTTGCTGGAGGTGTGAACTGCATGCACTTGGGAACAATAAAGTACGACTGGGTGTGGCTTGTACCAGAACAGCCCTGAGAAATAAAAAACAGGCAGCTTACATGTGCATACCTCTTTGTTAAATGACTCACAGTGATATGTCATTCGCCATTGATTATAGCTGAGCAAACACTCCTTAAAAGCAGAAGCAAGCAACTCTGTTTTAGTGGAAATAGTAAAACAAATGTAAGACGATCTGCTACATGAACAAGAGATGAAAACTGCTGCTGGGACATAGGTTAATAAGAATAAGAGCATCTTTTATCTTTTTAGTACCCTTTAAGAAATTTAAAGTAT